ATCCGCAGCCGCCCGTAAAGCGCCCCGCGGTCGCCGACAAGGCTCGCGACCTTGGGGCTCCCCTCCGCCAGCAGGCTGCTCGCCGCGTGGGCCTGCGCCGGCGCTGTGGGGACAGGCGGGAGCGCTCCGTGGCGGAGCACCAGGGCGCGCGGCTCGACTTCCCGCTGTGCCGGGAGCGCGGCCGCCGCCACCAGCCGCCCTGGGCTAACCTTGCTTTTTGTCGGGTTGCCGCGGAGGCCCGCGGCCGCACACGCGGCAGCGAAGGCGCTCTCGGCCTGCCCCGCCGCCTCCAGGGCGCAGACCACCTCGAGGTCGTCCTGGTAATTAGCTGTAGCCTCGCGCCGCCGTGCCCTCTACCATTGCCGCTTCCTCGGTTGCACGCGCAACGCGTTTGTAGGTCAGCGGGAACAGCATATTGGTGAGTGCGTCGCCCTGGTCGCCCCCGCGCTCCTTGGGAAGCGGCGTGCGGGTACCGTCGCGCGCCACGTGCGCGTGCTCTGTCGCGGTGCCAAGCCCGACCCGCACCCATGGCAGCAGATCCGGCACGACTTCCTGGACCGCCTGCGTGGCGACAGCCCTGTCGTACTCGTTGTGGGCGTTGCTAACGTCCAGGCTCAGCTTGCAGCAGGCCGGCTGGCTGTCGAGGTCAAGCAACACCGCCTCAGCTCTCGTGTTCCCCACAGAGTATTCGGCCTCCCCCAGGGCTCCGGCGACCCGACCCCGAAAGATGCGGGCCACTGCCTTGGACGCCAGGCGGCGGTGGAGGATCCCTAGGGCCAAGGGCCGGACCTTGTCGTCTTCTGGCCGGTCCCCCGCCAGGATCCGGGCACTCTGCCACGCCTTTAAAGCCTGGGCTGGGGCAGTGCCGAGCTGGAGCCGCAGGATGACTCTCGTGAACTCCTCCCACTGGGGCCCGTGCTGCGGCATCCATGCCCAGTGCTCCCCCCGCGAGCCCCCTGGGCCTGCCCCGCGGTTGCGCGGTGCGCGGGCGTACGCCTTCCCCACCTCAGCGACAAACTGGTCGACGTCGTCGCTGAGAGGCTGCGTCTGCGGGACGTGCGGCTGCGAGGCCGCGCGGGGGAAAAGGCCGGGGAGGCAGTGTCGCGCCTTCCTGTCCGGTGCAAGCTGGATCTTGGCGTCCACCACCCTCATCGCCTCGCGGACCTCCTCGTCGGCAAGTGCCTCCTCGATCGCCTGGACATCCCTTGCCAGCTGCTGCGCCTCGGAGCGTGCGTGGGGCTCCCCGCGCGGCTGCCGAACCCTCCCAGGCCAAACGCACCCGCCGGACAAGCGTCCGCGCCAGCGTCTCTCCCCTCTGCCCGCGCGCGCCGCCACGCCGCTTCCGCGCCGAGGCAGAAAGCAACCGGTCGGACAGCAGCAGGGCTTTCAAGGCTCTCTCCTCCTCCGCGGCGCCGCCCGCCCCTTGCGCCCCCACACTCAGCGCGGCCCGGAGCTCGGCCACTGCGTGACGGACTGCTCCTGGGACCACCCTGACCGTGCCCACGGGGTCGTGGATGCTCCTCCTCCTCCTCCTGCTCCTCGTCCTCCTCCTTCTCCTCCTCCTCCTCCTCCTCCTCCTCCTCCTCCTCCTCCTCCTCCTCCTCCCCCTCCTCCTGCTCCCCCTCTCCTGCTCTCCTCCTCCTCTCCTGCTCTCCTCCTCTCCTCCTCTCCTCCCTCCTCCTCCTCTCCTTCTCTTCTCCTCCTCTCCTGCTCCTGCTCCTCCTCTCCCTCCTTTGCTGCTCCTTCCTCTCTCCTCCTCCTCTCCTTTCCTTCTTCTCTTTCCTCCTTCCCTTCTCGTTCCTCCACCTGGTTCTCCTTCCTCCCTGCCGCTCCACTCTCCTCCCCCTCTCCTCCTCCTCGCCTCCTCCTCCCCGTTTTCTCTCTCCTCCTCCTCCTCCTCTTATCTCCCCCTCCCCGCTCCTCCTTTTCCTCCTCCTCCTCCTTTTCCTTCTCCTCCTCCTCCTCCTCCTCCTCCTCCTCCTCCTCCCCCTCGTCGTCGTCCTCCTCCTCTCCGCTTCCTTCTCCTCCATTTCATTTCCTTACACATACCTTCTCCCTGTCGCATCACGAGGCCAGTTTTAAGGGCGGGCCGGGCGTTTCGCCGGAGACTTCTTCACCATACATGATTCTGGAGGCAAATCATTAGCAGCAGTATCACAGATGGAGGGCGGGTGGTTTTCAATATGTTGCTCTCGCCTTAGCGCGGCACACTTTTTAAACATTTGCAAGAGTTTCCCGCATGTTTTTCTCGTGTCAGCGTGGTGCACTTTCGTTCAACATAATTGCAAGAGCTTCACGGGTAGAGGGCGGTTGGTTTTCAAACTGTGGCTCTCGCTTTAGCGCGGCGCATATTCGTTTTAAAGATTTACAAGAGTTTCACGTGTTGAGGGCGGTTGGTTTTCAAACTGTGGTTCTCGCCATAGCGCGGCGCGCATTCGTTGCAAATCATCGCAAGAGTTTCGCGTGTTGATGGCGGTTCCGTTTCAAACTGTGGCCCTCGCTTTAGCGCGGCGCACATTCGTTTTTTTTCGAATGTGGTTCTTTTTCAACATGTGGCTCCTTTTCCAAATGTGGCTCTCGTCTTAGAGCCGCGCGCATTCGTTTTACTCATTTGCAGGAGTTTTACTGGCTCCCACATCGACCCACCATAATTGATGTTTTGAAAAGGGTTCAGGATTACGCGGGCGCAGCAGTTACGTTGATTTGCTGTGTTGAAATCCCAGGAATGGTGTCCTGGCCCGAGTTTGGATCGTCAGCACGCAACAGTCAGGTTGATCCCTGGCGTTAGAATCCCGAGAACAATGTTTTAGCATGCTGCAGGGTCTTCAAACGGTTGTCTTCCAACGAGGCAGTTCCCTCCATGAATATGAACCGTTGTAGGGGCCTGTGAAGGGGGAGTTTGGAGGGAGGGTTTATTCCAGCATCGTTGATGCCTCTTGGGTTCACGCTGGTCCTCCTCCCCCCCTCTCTCCTCCTCCTCCTCCTCCTCCTCCTTGTCCTCCTCCTCCTCCTCTTCCTCTTCATCCTCCGTCCCGACCTCCTCCTCCTCCTCCTTCTCCTCCTCCTCCTGCTCCTCCTCCTCCTCCTCCTCCTCCCCCTCCCCCTCCCCCTCTAGCCCTCCTCCTCCTCCTCTTTCGTCGCCATTTTGGCTTAAGGCAGCATGTGTGGAACTCCCCACGCGCGAGGTGGCGACCGACGCTCCCCGCGGGCGTCCCAGGTGGCTGCCTAGCCCGAGGTCCGCCGCTGTCTGGCGCGTGCGTACGCCTCCACTTTCAGTTTACTGTTGCGGCGGCAGTACGCATTCCAACATTCCCCTTTTCCCTTCGCAGTCTCAGCCATGGCGGCGCCGTGCCCGACCTGTGGCTGCCGCAAGAACAAACCGTGGTTCTCGTGGTGCAAATCATGCCTCTCGCCGCTCCCGTCTGCTTTCGCCAAGGGCCGCCCTCGTGCTGGTGGTGATGGCGTTCAGCTGGATGGCGGGGGCAAGCGTCGCGGAGGTGGTGAAGGAGGAGGCAAAGGCGCTGGGAAGGGGTATGGGGTGCTGCCAAGCCCCCTCCTCCGCCCAACAGCAACCATCAGGAGTACCCGGACGCGCTCGCCAAGCACTTCAAGGGCGCTGAGGGGCTCCCTGGGTCCGACGCTATCTCCAGGCTCTGTCGGCGTCGGCCTCAGCTGTCAAGCAGGCCGCCCTTGACAAGCAGGAGGCGGGTGTCCAGGCGTCGGCAGTCCAGAAGCAGTTGTTCTCGAAGGAGAAGGAGCTCAAGCAAATCGCCGAGAGCACCGAGCATCATCGCAAGCGCGGCGAGGAATTGCAAACTAAGTCAGTCCAGTTCAACACGGAGATTGAGCAGCTGCGTGTGCGGTATCGCGACCTTTCTTCCGAAGTTGCCCCCCAGTTGGAGTCCGAGGGGGGAATCGACATCAACAGGTTCAAAGACACGTTCACGACAATGGACGCCATCCGGCAGGAGGCTGCTACGGCTGTGGCTAATCAGAACTTGTCCGACCTCAAGGGCAATATGCAGGCCATGCACAATGCACTGCAGTCGGGGCAAGGATCACCTGTCGAAGTCCGAAGAGGCCGCCACGTCGCGGAGTTCGGGTTCGAGAGCTTCGTCAGCGGGGCCTCCAGCGCCGCCAGTTGTCAAGTGCGACGATGACCTGTTCCACCTGCTCGGAGGTTTTTCGGGATCACCCGATGATGAGAAGCGCAAGGTTGAGATGCTGGAGGCCGTCGCATCCAGGTTTCGGACCTAGCAGTTCTGGTTCGTCGCGCTGCGCTTCGGCGCGGGAGGGGGCACCGCCCCCGACCTACCCCCGCGGGGGCCCCTGGGGAGACAGGCCCCCCCCCCCCCCGCGGGGGAGTCGGGAGCTTCGAGTCTCGGGGTTGCTCACGGGACATCGACTTCAAGTATCTGCTCGGCGTCGGGGGCCACGTCTTCTGGGCCTTCCTTGTCCCGCGCATCGGCGGAGGCTGGTGGGGCTACGTGGCCGACGGTGCCATCCAGTTTTGCATCGGCTTCGCTATCAGCCTATAGGGAGGGAGCTTTGTGTCCTCCCACCAAGCCGCTGGAGGCCTGTGCTCGTGTCGTTTCAGCTGCAGGTGCACCCTCTGAAGGCATAGGTTCCCTGTGCCGCAACCGGCCCAGTGTCGTCCTCCCCTCCTCCTCGGAGTTCTCTGGCAGTGAGTTTGGGTTCGTTCTGGAGACCTTCGACGGGTCGGGGTGGGGGGCTGCTCGTAAGCGGCCGCAGCAAACCAACGCTCATATAGTGCTCATTCAGGAGCATAAGCTTCGCAGTTTGATTGAAGAAATCGATCAAACCAGCGCCTGGGGCCTCAGACATGGTTGGGAGATCCTGTGGGAGCCTGGTTGTTCTGGGATTGATGGTGGTCCCTCGGCTGGCGTCGCGGTGGCAGTTCGTGCTGTATTCGGGTTCCACCCATTCTTGGACGTCTCGCATGTCTCTCCCCACGGGTGCGTGGCTGGCGTGGTGCAGAGGCTCGGCCAGCCACAGTTCTTAGTTGCCAGCATTTACGTGCGTGACTGCGAGCAGCTGGGTGGCGCCAACATATCTATCCTCTCTGACGTGATGTCGTTCGTGGGCCACTCGGGGTTGCCGTTCGTCATCGGGGGGGATTTCAACATGGTTCCTGAGGTCCTCCTTGAGTTCTGGGGTTCCAGAACTCCTGCGAGGGTCGCTTATCTCAGCTCCTGGGGATCGTGGGTCTCCTACGGTGCCCAGTGGAACCAAGCGCTATGCTTATTTTCTCGTGTCTGGTGGCTTGAGTAAGTGTGTGGAGGACGTGGCCTTGATCGAGGGGCTGCGACGTTCCCACGTATTCTTGCCAGCTTGGAGTTTCATAAGGCCCTCAGCGCGCTTCGGGCTCTCAGGTTCCGCAAACCTCCGAAGCTCCCCGTGGATCCCGCTGTGGGCCCCGTCGTTCAGGCGCCCGAGTTGGCGCATATTCTGGAGCTCCTGGATATCACCCTGGAGCGCGCGGAGTCTGGGGGTCTTGAGGAGGCCTTCGAAATCTTGGACGCAGCTCACGAGGTGTGAGCCAATTTGTCGGAGGTCGAGCTGGTCAATTCAACGCAGACCTATTCCAGTTCTAGGTGCGCGCGGACGCAGGCCTCGGTGCGAGCGGTGCGACCCTCTCGCTACGGACTCCAGGGCCGCCCCGCCGTCGCCGCGGCAGGCGGTCAATTTCTTTGTCGCGCAGTTGCGCGCTCTCATTGCCCATCTAGGAGCGGGGGGCCATGACGGGCGTCCAGCGGCCCAGTCTCTCGTAGGGCAGCTGCAGCGACCTCCTCAGAAGATCCGGGATAATCTTGGGCAGTGGTCTATTGTTCATGATCAGTTTCTGTTTTATCTGGGGCGCCGTGGTTGGCTTTCTCTGGAAGACTGGAGATATTCTTGGACGCAGCTACTGGGGGACTTCGAGGAGTCGCTTTCGGAAGCCGTGGCTTTTACTCGGAAGGAGTCTAGGGCTTCTTGGAGGCAGTGGATCCTTGAGGGAACTGAGGAAGGGGGTAAGAGGGCTCACTAGTGTATTCGGGGCCCCCAGTGCTGGAATCCCATTACTGCCCTTAGCTCCGGCGGGGCCGTTGTCTCCGATCCCCTCAGCCTCCTGAAGTCCGAAGCCCTTGAGTTTGAAGTCCGAAGCCCTTAAGTTTGCCGAGCTATGGGGTACGACGTGCCAGGAGGCGAGGCCGCCCGACCGTTTTGCTCGCGAGTCCGTCCTGGAGCCTCTCCCGTTCTTGCCGCCTGCGAAGCTGCGGGGCCCCGGCCGCAGCTATTCTCGTGTCGTGGCCGTGTCGGTGGACGGCTTCCACATGAGGCATTTCGTCCAGCTTAGTGACGGCGCTCTTTTGGCATTGGGCAAGATGTTCCAGCTTTGGGAAATGTCGTCGGCTTTTCCGACTCAGCTGAGAGTGGTTCTGCTGGCGATGCTCGCGAAGGCCTCTGGAGGTTTCAGGCCCATCGGCCTCTTCGTGGGCACCTACCGCCTCTAGGGCCGAGCTCGCCGTCACTTAGCTGAGGAGTGGGGGGCGGCCTGGCAGAGGCAGTTTTTTGCTTGTGGTCGCTTCAAGTCTTCTTCTGATGTTGTTTGGAGGCAGGCTCTAAGGTCGGGGGAGTCGGTTTCCTGTCGGGAAGTTTCTGCGTGCGTTCTCTGGGACATGTGTAAATTCAACGAATTCTTTGGCCTGGAGCTGCTTCTAGGCAGGTGCAGGCGTGTCGGCTTCTCACTGCAGGTAGCGCGCCTGTGCGCGTTCGCCTACCAGTGCGCCCGCTTCATTTTGATGAACGGCAGTGTCAGCGGACCTCGGTGGGCAGTCAATGGGGGTTCTTGCAGGGTGCTCAATTGCAACCACCTTCGTTCGCATCTACCTAGTTCTGGACTTAGATCGCCTGACACTGCCGCGTTCAGTCACCCTAGATGCGTATATCGACGATTGTTCTCTCAGTTGCGTCGGCTCCGTCTTGACGGTCGTCAGAAATCTGGCCGAGTCGTCTCGGGCCTTGCACCCTGTGCTTACTTTAGACTGCAAGTGTTCGATGTGGATCGATCGCAACTCAGGGGTCACGGCTGACAAGGCTTGTTTGATTTCGTCCTCTTCGCAAGTCGCTCATCGGCTTCGTGGCATCTTGGGGGGGCTCGCAGGGCCTATCACGGCGGGGGTCGCCAACCTGGGGGTCGATGATACTCAAGGGAAACCTCGTCGTTCCTCGGGTCGTGGAGCTACCGCCAAGTAGCGACTCGCGATGTTTATCCGCAGGGTCAAGATGTTGACCAAGCTCAAGCCCGACTTGGGCAGGGGGTGCAAGCTGATTTGCACATCGGGCCTTGTGCCTGGTTTACTGTGCGGGGCCGAAGTCCATGGCTGCAGCGATGGGGAGGTTCTTCATCTACGTCGGTCGATCGGTCGTACTATGCAGCCTTCAGCAGGGAGTAGATCGCTTTCGATTCTTATGATCTCGGAAAATGACCCAGCATGG